AAATAAAATCTGAAGGTACAAGAAATATTGTGAAAGGGAAACAAACTCCTAGGGAAATGAGAAAAGAAAGAAGAAGGGAAAAAAATACACACACACACACACACACACACACATACACAAGATAGCTAAGACAATTATACTACTAATTTCTATTGGTTTATTGTAAGGAATAGTTAATGCTTAATTTATTTTTGACCAGTTTTACATGCTTATATCTGGTACTCTAAACTACTTTGAAGATAACAATATGCACTATAACAACTATTGCTGATTTCCTATCATCTTGTTTGGAAATTTTGTACTGTTTTTTAGTAATTTTCCTTATTTTAAGAAAATATCTTAAAAATAAAAATAAAATAAGTTTTAAGAGACACCTTAGGGCCTGTAGTCAAAAGGGATGTCAGATGAGAGGGCTACTGTATACACAGCCGATGCCTGGCTGCCAACCTCAGACTGGTGCTTCCTTTCCATCGCATGCTGCGGTTGCTTCAAGCAGATGCTCCGCTAGGCGCTAGGACCTCAAAACCAGCCCTACATCAATTCCACTCCATTGCCCAAGCCCACCACATGCTCCCAACTGCTCCCTGGACCAGACCTAGCCAATGGAATCTGAGTGGAATGATTGGTAATTGACTCTTCCCCTTTCACTTTATTTTCCCTTTCACTTGGGGCACCACCTGTTGAAGATAAGGAGAAGAAAACAATTTACTGAGACACCCTAGGAACAGCCACCAGAGACATTTGTCTGATCAAGTAGAAACAGTAAGCACTGAAGGAGAAGAATAAAATCTTGTGCTAAAACATTGAGTATTGAGAGATTTTGTTAGAATAGTTCACGTTCTCTGACCAAATAGTAAAAATTAAAGTAACTACATTTTAGGGGATCCTAGATTCTTGGAATAATGGAAAAGAAATCAAAGGCAGTGAATGCTCCAAAAGTGATATAATTTGGATTTTAAATGTTGTAGTTTATGACCTTACAGACAATTTTTTAACATCTGGGAATTAGAAATGCATATAAAATGTACTGAAGTCCTAAGAAATCAGTCCATCCATCCATTCATCCATCTATCCATCCATTCATTTATTTATTCAACAAATATTTCCTAAGCAACTAATTCATGCTCAGGACTGTGACAGGCACCTGGAACTGTGAATAAGACCCTGTCCCACTTTCTTGGAGTTCACTTTCTTAAACAAAGAACAAAGAATTATGACACATAATCCCCTATCCCACTGGCTGTCCTAATGGTAACTGCTTAATTTTCTTTTATTCAAAAAATGTAGTTGTGACTAGTGGAGAAAAAGAGTGCTATTTTCTTCTCTATATAACTTTGTCTTTCTAAATTGTATTTTAGCAACCTGAAAGGGACAAATTGGCTGAAGAAAGAGAACATTCTAAGTCTTTAACAGACCGTGACAAAAATAGGGCTAAATAATTATTTCTAAGAAAATGAAATTACTTTTTTTTATCACGATACCATGAATGGCTTTCTCAATTGTCCCCTGTAAGTCTGTAATAACACTAGCTGCAGAACACATGATTCCTGACAATAGACAATACAACTGAAAAAATTAGTCTCCTGTGTTCAAAATAACACTTTCATAACAATGGGAAATTCGTGCTTGCTCTCTCCAGACCTTTGCTGTGCAGAATACCAGTGTAGGCTAATTATATGAGCTAGCTGAAAATTGTGTGCATAATGGAAAGGCAACCCCCTAAAGATCCACACAGAAAAGGTCTTACCATCAAATGCAAAACAACGGGAAAAAAATAAGAGAAAAAAAAACCGGAGAGAGCAAACATAAGAGCATGCACTGGGGCATCCTCATTAGCATGCTGCAGTGAACTAGTGCTGTGGGTTCTCACCAAAGACTTGCAAGAACTTCCAGGCTTCAAAATGACACCTTCCATGCTAGAATGCCCCCATGCTCAATCAGTGTTTGGCCATGATGTGCAGCCACTGATCATCCCTTTGTTGAAAACTGTTGTCGTTTTCGGGAGCCAGAGTTGGAAGTGTTAGAGAGCTGAACAGAGTATCAGGCAAGAGCCATGTGTTATCAGAACATCACCATCAACGTGCTCAGCACGCACGTTGGCCAATGAGCAGCCGGGCCTCCCCAAGCTATGCTGGAGCAAAGATCAATTTCTCCCAGTTCCACTTTTCTTGTGTCTTCATGCTATATGCTTGATCTCTGAAAGGCAGTTTGGGCTTAGAATAAAGTCTTCCAGGAAAAGTCGAGCAGAGCCTTGTAATCCCCTCACATCCAAAAAACAACAAACAAAATAACAGGTCCACCATGACCAAACAGATGTGACATGCCATCTGTCATACCACAGATATTTTATTGTGTGAGGAGAGAAACATTTGCACAAGTGTTACAGCCAATCTGTAGTAAGTTGGGGTCCCTTTAGAAACCCTGGTCAGTTCAAATCATATCATTCAGGGCTTTGAAGAAGAGGCTGTGCCCCAAAATGTGGGCAGCTGCTATGGCTTGTGTCTAGATGTCCCCCACAAACAATCATGTGGGTTATAAGTGGGGCTTCTTCAGAGATGGCTAGATCTAGTCTGTGCGAATTGATTTATGATACAAGGCTAGGATCAAGGACATGTGGATTAAGGTTATCACTGATACCTGCCCTAAGTAGCCTAGATAAGATGAAAGGTACAGAACGATGCTGTCAAGATTCCTTGTTGCTTTTGCTACCTTCTGAGCATGACAAGCTAGTCTCTTTGTTGCCCTCCGCCAACCCGACCTGCCTTGAAGCCAACAAATTATAGACTAAAATTTCTACAAACTGTAAGGCAAAGAAACCTTTCCCCCTTCAACTTTGGGTGTCAGGTATTTTATCTTAGCAAAACGAAAAGTGCCTAAGACAGCAGCCTAACTTATCCCTAAAGTGAGGCATCCAGTAGAAGGAAGAGAGAAAGAGAACAGGAATAGAAAGTGAGCAAGGAGGAGGGGGGATGAAATCTAATTCAAGTCATGGCCTTAATCCAAATGACCCAGTCCCTTCCATGGATTTAGGTGGCAAGGAGGGAGCTTTTCTCCCAAACACTGATGTCATCCTCCTGTTCCCATTTGATGATATCTAAAGAAAAAATAAATGCAAAAAAGCACCAGAGTCCCTTACCGAAGTCCAAACCATTCCACTTTCTAGACAAGCACAAGCCCAGGCTGTGGTAGAGGGCAGCAAGCATATCGAATAGAGAATCAATGCAACGAATTCCTCTAGTATGCTGGGGGATCAACACTTGGAATTGAGGGAACACACACACACACACACACACACACACACACACACAAATATTGATAGGCTATGCTCTGTTATATAGAGCAATATCAAGGATGAGACTGTCAAACTGGATTAGCTGCTGACACTACTCATGCCCAGTACTAAACTTTCTAATAATGTAAGGATCTGGGCAGTTGAGAGACTGATAAACCATGGAGAAATCAGGGGCATCAAAGTTAATGCCTGGATTCAATCTTCCCACACTGACCTAGTCCAGAACAGTAGTTGAGGTCTCTAAGTGAGGCTTAGAGAGGTGGGATTTCTCACAGAGTAGGAATATTTCAGTTATGAAACATTTTTTCTTTGTTCCTGTGGATGCCCTGGTCAAGCATGACCTGCTTCTTTGATCCCAGGTCCTACTTACTATGGGTGACACCTCAGCCAGGGAGCAGCTTGCTAAGGACAGTCCATGGGTCTAAGGTGTCCTCTTAAGAAAGTCAGAAGGCTATTTACTCAGAGGCTGAATAGCAGAGCAAACCAGGCTACTGACCTTGCTTTCTGTTCCTTCGGGCTAACCTGCCAGACCCCTGGGGAAGGAAGTGAAAGGACTACAGGCAGCTGTTTTAATGCCTGCCTCCCACAAGTGCTATTTTTAAAATTAAAAGAGGAAAAAGGAAAGAGGGATGTTGTGTGTGTGTGTGTGTGTGTGTGTGTGTGTGTGTATCAGAAAGACAGAGACACAGAGAGACAGACAGAGGAGAGAGAGACAAAAAGACGGGATGCAGAAATACTGATTCTTAGGGAGACAGAAATACAGAGGTGAAACAGAAAAAATATGGAGAAAAATAGAGGAGGCTGCTGGGTCTTCCTTAAATATGTCTGGCATGAGGAATATAGCTTTCTCTTTCTGCTGAACAACCTTCTACTCCATTAGCCAAGCACACAGCAAAATGAAACTTGGATTACCTCCCTTAAGGGAGACTTTAGGCTGAAGCACATGTCCCGCCCCATCTCCACGCACATCCTCCATCCAGCACTGTTGCATTCTGCCCTCCCAGCACAATCTCAATAGCTCTCTTCACTTTGGAATCTCAGGACACAGTGCCTCTTCTGTCCAAGAAGCACAGAAGTTTTGGATTTCCTTCCTCCAGTCTGAAGACAAAGATGCAATTGGCTCCCTAAAATCAGGATTGTAAGTAGAAGTAGGCAGAACAGGAGAGATCTAGAGCTGGAACCAGGGCTTAATCCTTAGCCTGAAATAATAACCTAAATTTTGTACAAGAAGATAGTTTTTTAGGATAGGGTCAGAATACATATTGGAGCTTCAAAAGAAGTGAAGGTCTTAAGACCGGGCATTGTGGCGCACGCCTGTAATCCCAACACTTGGGAGGTTGTAAACAGGAGGATCACTACAAGTCCAATCTACACAGGGAGACCCTGTACACCCTGTCCTAAATACAAAAATAAAATAAAAGAAAAGAAGTGAAGGTGTTTAAGAGCATGGCTAGAAAACTACACCATGTTTTCAATAAATATGGCTCTAGAAACAGACAAGTTGAGTCCTTTTGCCAGGGCATGACCCGGATTGGCATTGTGTGACCCACTATCCATCCTCCTCATCAACAGGAGCATCTCAAAACCCTACTCCAAGCTGGAGAGTGAATCTAGACTCACTTTGCAAATGACTGCTAAGATGCTAGGGAGAACTTAAATGCAAAATACTTATTGTCAAATTAAATTAAATATGAAGAGTGATACTTACCCTTTTGTTTTGTTGGATAAAGACTTAATGCCATGCTGCAGATTTTTGCATTTCTCTGTCAGTTGGAGTGACTTCTCATTCAGATACGTGCTGTTTCATAAAAGAGATAAAAAAGACTGATTAGAATGAAAGCCTATAAGATAGTGTTAACATCAGATTTAATTGATAAGGTGTGTTCAAACAAAATCTGATTTTCATTCCACTGTTGGATTTCTCCATGGAAAAGGAAATTGATATTTTGACCTCTGAAGGTTCTAAATTTTCAAAAAGTTTACACTACCAAGGCAAACTAAAAAGAAAACTATTTGGACACATTCTACTTTCACATTTTCATATTTGAGGTTGGTATGTAAGATGAGTAGGTGGGCTGGGGAGATAGCTCAGCAGTGTAAGTTAAGTGTCTGCTTGGAAAACTCAAGGTCTTGAGTTCCATCCCCAGTACCAAGAAATAAAAGAAAGGAAGAAGAAAAAAGAAAGAGAAAGAGAAAGAA